GGGGGGAGGGGGGGGGGGGTGGTGGTGGTGGTAATTAAATCCAGTTCTAAATCAATAAAACCTAGTCTAAATCATTTATGTAAGTTTGTGTTCAGTTTTGGCGCAGTGCTATACACTTGGTCGACAACTTCAACTGTATATTGAAACGTTTTAGCAAGCACACGTGATGAATGTTTCTACTACAGAACATATATTTGTCAGCAAAGGTTATACATTATAATGAATAATAATACATATGATTTAGTCATTGTGTTAACTAGGGCGCTTGTACCCTGTAGCTAACTACCGTGTATAAGCGCCCTTCAAGTAACTGTCTTCCGTTTAGGCATGGCAACCATGGACTGGACTGTCCACCTTGTAACCAACATTGATATATTTACAGAAAGTTCAAAATGTATTTTCTTCCACAATTCCATCGAGACTGTCCAAATAACTATTTTCGTCCATATCATTCAAAACAGCATCAGTCAAGATCTCGGAAAGAGACACATCCGGGCGTCTTGCATACGGCACTAACTTACATTTATTCCGCACTTCAGGCACACAAGGATTCCTCAGGATCGCTTCGAGCGTGCGTACAAACAACTTGGCTTCTTCGTCCCGGTCTTCTATGCTGAGATTCGCCTGGGCTGAATGGCTCATGTCGTCCATTGAGCACAGCGGTGTTGCGTACTCAGCCAAGACGTGAAGAGGCTCACAACCATCAATGGTTATCTTGTAAACATTATTCCGATATACTCTTTTATCAATTCCTGCTCTTGTAACATCAAATTCAATCACTCCACCTTCAACAAGTTCAATCTTCCCATCTTCTGCTTCTTCTGACAACTTTCTATAGGCCCAACAGTCTCGAGGCATTAAGATAAACAATTTGTTTGAAGACAGGGCGTCTTTCCACTCCGAGTCTGCAATTCGTTTATGTAATTCTGGCAGAATTATTTTCAAGTAACCGAAGTAATAAGACCATGCGAAGCCGTTCGCGACAAGTCTGTTGTTATTTTCCATCAAAGAGGATACTTGCGCACGAGATAAAGTATCCAAACTGAGAAGATACAATACAAGAGTACTGCTTCCAACACCGCTTAGGATGATCTCAATGTACTCAAACTTGAAATATTTCGTTCCTTGAGAGAGTAGAGTGGAGCCAATGATAACGAATGCGACCAATGTCGCAAAGAACACAGCTCTGAATGAAATATCACTGAAACATGCATAAAACATTTTCCTCTTGCTACCACCATACCGAGTATACAAATGAAAATATTCTTCAAACATCAGACACGACCGGTTCACAAATTCTCCCAAGATAATACCAATAAGATTTAAAGACCAGATAAAAATACCAACGTGATAGTACTGGTCATTCTTTCTGCAAAACATGTCATCTTCATGCAGGATGCTTTTGTTGCCTTCGACGGCGTAGAGTTCGTCTTTTGGCTTCGTGAACGCTCCGAGAAGGACAACCATGATTATAAAAGACAACCCAACAGACACAAAGGCAGCTCGTTTCTGGCGTTTCTCTGGTATCGGGCCAAACCCGTTTTTGTCCAGGTCTATGGCCGTAGAAGGTGAATCATCTTCGTCAAAAATAATTGCGGACTCCTCCATCTCAGTTCCCGTCTGGGACGGGTCTTCTGTGTATGAACCGTACATCGTAAAACTGTAGGAGATAATTGTGCGAAGCGCTTTTTAAACAGTGCAAACTGAAATTAAAACTTTTGGGCACTTCACGTAAATAAAAGTTCCGTTTCTTCAATTTCATTTTGGAATGAAACGGGAAGGAATTATAAATAAATCCTGAAAATGAAATTGATTGGATCATCAATTGGGACTTTGTTGATATAAAAATATTGGAGTGATAGGTTGAATTTATTTGGTTTACAGGTAAAATACGTTAAGCATTTCTCTTTCGAGTTTCTAACTTGATTGCAATTTTCCTCATTACCTTCGCAAATTTGAAAAACTCCCTTGCAAATCTCTCGAGGGAATTTGCAATGTTCCTATCGGCTGCTGCGTTATTCCAATGCAGAGAAACTTCCTTTCAAATTTTTCTAACTTCCTGTTTTAATTTCATGACTTCCTGTTCTGTTCTGAGCGTTGTCATTGGTGGATTATTTTTGCTAGCCAATTATAATGCACGTAACAGAACAGGAAGTTAGGAACTTGTAACAGGAAGTTAAGAACTTCATTGCAATCAAGTTAGGAACTCAAAAGAGGAACGCTTGAGCCTTGACGTAGTTTAGCTGTAATTACAAGGGCAAAGCCATGAAATGCGATTAAGTCTTTTAAGCTATATATAAGGTTATTTAAAAAGGGATACTAAGTATTTCGGTTAAAATGCTCGAGCCACTGCAGGATCAAACTGCCTGAAAAATATAACGCGAACTTTGATGTTTCAAAAGAAGGAACTTCGTCAGGAAGTTCATGAGCGATCAGTTTAGTTCATTCGAAACATCGAAGTTCTTGTCAGTGTTTTTGAGGTCGTTCGATCCAGGGTTCGTGCAAGTCAGGAAGAGTAAAACTCATGGACTTTCCAAGGATGTTCAAGGCCGTGAAAGAAAAAGTAGTAAAATAAAACCACACAGCGTACAGGCAGCTACATTCAATTTCAGCACGATATTGGATGCAGGTGGCCTTCCAGCAGGCATCTCGCGGTTCACCTGGGTTGCTTGGAGGCTAGGATGGAGGTAATGACAGAGGCGTAGCCAGGATTTTTGGTCAGAAGGACCAGCAAAAAACTAGGTGGGGCAAAGCTTCACGTATTTTTATGGAATAAATTTCTCAAGGAGGGGGAAATTTTACCAGGGGGTCGTGCCCCGCCCCGCCCCTGGGCAATGAGATCAAATTGTTTTATTTATCGGTATTGCTTTATAACATTGAATTTGTACCATCAGGTACAAGTATTTCAGAGCTCATTATATTGTAATTGATACATAGGTTGTAAGACCTCTATAGGCGTTCGGTAAGTAGTATATGATGTGTGCATTATGTTAATGGTCTCCTAGATTGTCAGTCTTCACAGGTCCTGGAAAATAGACCATACCGTCAAATATTATGTATAGTAAGCATGCTCTGGTAAGCATGTATATTAAGTTTTTTTATTGTCGGGTCGGATTTTGTAGGTTTTTTGTCGGATCGGATTTTTCTTTTTTCTTTTTTCTCGTATTGCGTCGAATTACTCGAATATTTTAACAAATTAAGATAGTTCTATACTGAGCAGAAGTGTCTGGAAGGCTTTCAGTGGAGCCGTGTAAGCAGAGTGATTTGGTCGAAGCGGAGTAAAGTATAATGCCGAGTGATGATAATAAAGTAAAGAAGTGTTTTGAGTTATTTTGACGTATATTTCTGACAAAAGAAACACTGGCGTTATGTGGATTCTTCTTAAATCGGTTACGTATGGGAATTGGGATATATAGGAATGTTGTGATTCTTTGTTTAGTTTGTTAGGTTTATGTGTCACGAAGCACTGACAATGAGATTTATTAGTGATAAACTTTAAGATGTTTTAAAATGTAAATCCAGCTCAAGCTCATGCATTGTTATAATAACTATGTGACTAGTCGGGTTTTTTTTCTACGCTATAGTATAACTGCATGTATAAGGCATAATTATGTGATATCGCCCTGCAATTTTTATCGGATTCGTATCTGCTTATTTTTGCTGGAAATTCATTATTTCGAATATATCGTTTATGGTCATGAAAAAATACGTTCATACACCGAATAATTAACGCACGTTGTATGGCAATAACTTAAGTTCGGATCGGATTACGAATTTTAGCATCGGATCGGATCGGATTTTATAAACATTTTTTCTGATCGGATTGCTTTTTTCATCTTCGGATCGGATTGAGAACTTAGACAAACCATCGGATTCAAAGAGGTCAATCCGATCCGACGCACACCTCTAATGTATAGTGTGTAACGTGGATCATTACTATCATTCTCTCTACAGGCGTTCGGTCTAACTTTAATAATTTGTGCATTATTATGTTAATGGCATCTCCTAGATTGTCAGCCTCCACAGGTCCTGGAAAATAGACCATATCGTCAAATATTTTATATAGTATATGTATATAGCGTGTGTGGTGTGGATAATTTCTACACAGATCCACATCAGGTTGTTTGTGGTTCATGAGAATATTTCTATTGAAAAATTCTCTTGTAAAACTAATGCTTGCCAACTCTCATGAACTCCCATTCTCATTTGACCTGGGATTAAATGTGGAAACATTTAAGCGAGGTGCAATCATATATATTAAAGAAATTGACATATAGTTTTCTGATGTATTGTTACTCTGCCAAAATAATTACATACACTCAAATATAATCGCCTTGATAATACAAAATACAAGACTGTTTCTAAAACATGTTGTTCCTTGATACCAAATATATATCTATTTGACAAATGGATTTATACGCCAATATTCTGTTAACTTCATGACACTACTGTTAGGTTAACTAGACGTGAGGCATGCATAATATAAATAGTATTTATAAATTTCAACTACATTTTTAATTCTAACACAGAAACATAATGAATCCTCAGCGAAGTCACGCAGTCCAGTTCATACTGTATATTCATAAAATAATCTGATCCGAGGTCTTTCTTAGCCCTCTTCCGAACTGAATATTGTTCAATGAAATTATGCAAATCCCTTTACTTGTGCTTTCACCATAGAGCAGGGGGGTGTTAAATCCTGAGTTCTAAATCAATCACATGCACCTAGTCCTATGATATAAACTGTATCTATATAGGTTTGAGTTCAGTTTTGCTACACATATAACGAACATTTAGTCATTCTGTTAACCAGTGCGCTTGTAACTATATTAGCGCGGTTCTAGTAACTGTCTTCCGTTTAGACATGGCCACCATGGGCTGCATTGTCCAGCTTGTCTAACAAGAATCTCTTTAACCAACATTAATTATTTACAGAAAGTTCAAAATGTATTTTCTGCCACAATTCCATCAAGACTATCCAAAGAACTATTTTCTTTCATATCATCTAAAACAGCATCAGCCAAGACCTTGGAAACAGGCACATCTGAGCGTCTTGCATACGGCACCAACTTACATTTATTCCGGACTTCAGGCACACAAGGATTCCTCAGGATCGCTTCGAGTGTGCGCACAAACAACTTGGCTTGTTCGTCCCGGTCTTCTACGCTGAGATTCACCTCGGCTGAATGGCTCATCTCGTATATTGGGCACAGCGGTGTTGCGTACTCAGCCAAGACGTGAAGAGGCTCACAACCATCAATGCTTATCTTGTAAACATTACTTCGATATGATCTTTTAGAAAGTCCTGCTCTTGCAACATCAAATTCAATCACACCATCTTCAACAAGTTCAATCTTCCCGTCTTCCGCTTCTTCTGACAACTTTCCATGGGCCCAACAGTCTCGAGGCATTAAGATAAACAATTTGTTGGAAGACAACTTGTCTTTCCACGGCGAGTCTGCAATTCGTTCATGTAATGTTGGCAGAATTATTTTCAAGTAAGTGAAGTAATAATACCATGCAAAGCCGTTCGCGACAAATCTGTTGTTATTTTCCATCAAAGAGGATATTTGCACACGAGATAAAGTATCCAAACTGAGAAGATACAGTACAAGAGTAATGCTTCCAACGCTGCTTAGGATGATCTCAATATACTCAAACTTAAAATATTCCGCTCCTTGAGACAGTAGAGTGCTGCAAATGATAATGAATGCGACCAATGTCGCAAAGAACACAGCTCTGAATGAAATATCACTGAAACATGCATAAAACATTTTCCTCTTGCTACCACCATACCGAGTATACAAATGAAAATATTCTTCAAACATCAGACACGACCGGTTCACAAATTCTCCCAAGATAATACCAATAAGATTTAAAGACCAGATAAAAATACCAACGTGATAATACTGGTCATTCTTTCTGCAAAACATCTCATCTTCATGCAGCATGCTCGTGTTGCCTTCGACCGCGTAGAGTTCGTCTTTTGGCTTCGTGAACGCTCCGAGGAGGACAACCATGATGATAAAAGACAACCCAACAGACACAAAGGCAGCTCGTTTCTGGCGTTTCTCTGGTATCGGGCCAAACCCGTGGTTTTTGTCCAGTTCTATGGCCGTAAAAGATGAATCATCTTCATCAAAAATAATTGCTGACTCCTCCATCTCAGTTCCCGCCTGGAACGGGTCTTCTGTGTGTGAACCGTACATCGTAAAAATGTAGAAGATAATTGTGCGAAGCACCTTTTAAACAGTGCGAACTGAAATTGTACCTGTTGGGTACTTCACGTAAAATGAAAGTTCCGTTTCTTCAATTTCATTTTGGAATGAAACGGAAAGGAATTATAAATAAATCCTGAAAATGAAATTAATTGGAACATTAATTGGGACTTTGTTGATATAAAAATATTACAGTGATTGGTTGAATTTATTTGGTTTACAGGTAAACTACGTGAAGCATTCCTCTTTCGAGTTTCTAACAGTCATGGCATTTTTTAACTAATAACTACGGGGGCATTTAACCCAGTAGGCCCTATGCTTGCCCCAGTAGTGAAGCAAGATTTTCAGATGAACTGGGCCCTTTTGATCATTAGTAAAAAGCCAACCTTGTTGAAAAAGCTGCATCTGCCTGCTTTCTCATATCCTCTCACATTCTCGACATTTCATCTTATAAAAGTAGTCAAGGGCGGTGCTAAATGGGTGGGTGGTGGATGGGTGTGGGTGTTGGAACAGCCCCAGTCATCAGATATTCGGCAAATTATCTAATCCCAGTTGGATAGGAAGGAAAGAAACTAAAATATTTGAGTGACACCGATTATAAAAACTATTATTATATGGCAAGCATCACTTCTGGTGAAATGGTGGACTGTGGCTGAGAAGCACTTTCGGCAGTCCATTATTTTCCCGTAATGGACCCGTGGTCCATTACGTTAAAACAAACACATGCATTTTAAAACAAAACAGCAAAACTAATAGACCTTTCCCCT